TCAACCTGTGACAATCATCATCATCAATTAAGGGAGGCCAGAATAACAGTAAATATGCACACACTTGAAAAACATCTGAAACCATTTTCCAATAGGTGAGAGGTATTTCTTTTTTCAGGAAATGCCACTGCTTGATTTGCCCCATGCATCTCTCGACATGAATCCGTACACGTGCAATAGCCACACTTTCCACTAATTCGGGTATGGTCAATTRGTTATTTCCTTGGAGAAGATGTGGGGTKATGAGTCTTACTCATTTTTTAGCAAACCAGTTAGCACATGTCCAGCCTCTATCTGCCATCACTGCATCACCTGAGTCAAGCAGGTCTCGCAGTTTCGATTTAYTTGTAATGTTATTSTCACTTATAGATCCTTCATATAATTCACTAACAAAAGTTGGAATTCCACTCGGAGAAATACCAACAAGGGCTTTACGAGTATTACATCCTTTATATGAACTATATGTCACACACTGCACATCAAAATCAGATTTAAATTCTGTACAGTCTACGATAACTCGGACATCGTCATACAACCCCTTGAAACATTTAGGCATTGTCTGTCTTATCTTTTGTTTTGAAAGCCAAATATTGATACTGCATAGAACTGCATGCAGTAGTTTGACCCATGTAATAAAGATTATTGAGACTTGTGAATGATGGATTTTAAAGGGCTCAGCAATATCTCTGTTAGCACTGGCTTGTTTCAGTTTAACAAGGGTCAAGAAAAGCTCATCAATTGGCACTAACTTCCTTTTGGGTCCACATTTACTATTTCCACTATTAAGCTTGTTCTTCCAGTAGGAAATGGCCTTGCAGTTGGGCTCTACATAGTGCTTCCACAACRACATGAAGGCTTGATAAGAGTACATTCCTGTCCAAAACCGAAACTCTTCATCTGAACTTTCAAACTTCAAACGCTTGCAAAAGAACCTTTCTAAATTATGTAAAGCTTGTGYTGTATCCTGGATTTCTTTCAAACTTTTTAACAACTTGATAACAACACCAAACATGTGCTTGACKTTGTCAAAATCACTTGCTTGTGTTTTCAATACAAGCAAGKAATTGTTGAAGGTCATCCACCTTAAGCAGATGTGTGGTCTCATAATATAGTTTGGCAATAACATCAAACACTTCTGATATTTCTTTGTTGGTGTCTTGTGTTTGAGTAGAGTTGTTATCATTACTTTCTTTTCCACTATTCATATCTACAGACAACTCTGAATCTTCATTTTCAACCAATTTAGGTTGTAC